GTTTCCTCTTTGAGGCAGTAAAAAGGAGGCCACGAAATCAACTCAGCACGCCCCAAACCCTCTCGAAGACGCAATTCCCTCCCGGCAGATGCTGCAGGAGCATTGCATAGGTAGATTTTTTTTTTTTTTTTTGGCATCCAAAAAAGCAACGTGTTAAAAAACAAGAAAAAAAACCCCACCCACAAAACCCACCCATTGCTCAAACAACACACCAAGTGCTTTTATTCCGGAGACAAAAGAGCCTCACAACACCAGAGCTCATCCTCCGCGGATGCTAAAAGCCCCAAATCCCACGTTCCCATCTTCTGTCTGTCAATTAAAAGCCTTTTACGCACTTCCAACAGCAACAGATGGGGATCGGGAACGCGGGATCAGAGCCGCCGACCTGGGACCCCCCCGGCAATGAGAAAGGGTCTGGCTGTGCCGGCGGTGGCAAACCTCTGCCAGGCACCGAGGCCGGACCCTGACACAGCCAATTTCCCCGCCAGGGCCCCCCCATGGGACCCAAAATCCTCCTCCTCCTCCCTAAAACGCCACCGCCGCGCTCTGCCGGTGCAAAACCTCATTAATGAGACATTTCCCTTTCCTCAATTAAGCTGTTTTCCTTCACCCACCCTCTCCTCTCCCGCGCGGGGGCTCATCCTTCCCCCAATTTCCAGCAGCTTCCCATTGAAGTGTCACTCCGGCTCCCAAACCACCACCGGCTGATTCATCAGCTCCGAATATTTTAAATCCTATTGTTCTCCCCAGCCCTGTTTTCCCGTCTTTCTTGAAAATACCAGCGGGCTCCCAGCTCACGAGGGGATGTTTTCCCCTTGCCAGGAGCAGGACCAGCCCCTCGAAGACGGACAATCCCGTCCCGTTTGGGAACAATCAGGGGTTTGTCCCCAGCTGCAGGAGATGGAGGAGGGAATTGCAGCGGCTCCAGGTGGGATCCAGCCCCAGAGGGATCACGGAAGATGGTACCACCAGCCCCATCCTGCTCGTGCTGCAAGAAATTGCCCAAATCTGGGGGACGGATGCTAAAACCCACCTGTGCTAAGGGGATGGGGAGCAACTGGGAGTAGTGGGATGAGGCATCCTGGCTCGCGCCGCAGGGAAATTTGGGAAGGAAGGTGGAGGTTGGGCAGGACCAGCACGAGCCGACCTCTCCGTAAGGGTGTCCCTGCCCCGGGGTCGGTGTTACCCAGGAGGGACAAACCAGCCCTCGGCCAAGAGCCGGGCGGGCGTTCGCTCCCCGGGGTTGTGGCTGGCGCTCGGGAGAGGAAAATCCCGCGTAGCAGAAGGGAGAAGGAATCCTGTCCCGCCCCCCGGCGTTTTGCCGTGTGCCCCGAGGTGCTGCACCCCGATGGGGACACCGCGGTTCAGAGGGACGGGAGCTTTTCGGTGCAACCAGAGCAAAGCGGGTCCCAGCTCGGCCCCTCGCACCGGCTTTTCTTGCTTTGGTTTTGCATCACGAAACTCTTCCCTGGCCAACGGGGGGGACCGAAAAGGAGGGATGGGGAAGAGCTGCCCCGAGCTGACGGTGGGGGAGAAGCTGGGAGCGGAGCCGGACCCACCGGGGATGCTGGACCCACTGGGGACACCGGACCCACCGGGGACACCAGCCCCAGGGACCCACAGCCAAAGGGGCAACGAGGAGGTGAGAGCCAAACCATCCAGCCCTGGGGAGGCCACACAGCAAAAGCCAATGCTGCCAGGCGGGTCAGGTCCCTCAGGTCCCTCCTCGACTGCTCTGCACGTCCCCTTCCTCTCCGTGCCGCCAGCAACACCTCGGGGGGTCTCCAGCCCTCACCAGGCTGAGTTTCGTCCTTCCTAAAATCGTTTTTCCATGAGGTTTTAAAAAGGACATCACCTCTACAGAGTCCTTACCCTCTTTAGCAGCCAAACTATCCAGGAATCACACCAACCCCCATACCTCAAACTCCCCAAACCCGGCTTAACTGGCAATTCTACACATCCGCATCCAACCCCAACCCAACAGCCAGGGCCGGAGCCGCCTCCTTCCACCCGGCGGAGCGAGAAGCCGCTCTGCCAACCCCAGTAGCCACCGTGGCTCGGCAGCATCGCCCCGATGCCGGAAGAGTCCCACGTCTCCCTTTATTAAGTCTCTCTGCATTTCTCAGCTATAAATAGGTCGGCGAGGTTCAAAGCGAAGGGTGCGAAGACGCATGAGAAGCAGCCGCCGCAGCGGGACTTTGCAGAGCTGTCTGTGCCACGGCGGCATCGATGGGCTCGGAAAAAGGGTGGCAAAGTAAGTCAGGGTGAGGTGGGTTGTTTTTTGTTTTGTGTTTTGTTTTTTTTTTTTTCACCTGGAAGGGATATAAAAATACCAGTGCTGTTTTTGGAAACAAGACATTGAGTTTGTGGCTGGGAATCAGGCCCGAGACAACGCGCAATTTCCCCACCCAGCACCAGCAGGTGGCATTTGATGGAGGAGCATCAAAGGGAGGGTGATGGTCCCCAGGGAGCGGCGTTAGCCACGCTATTAGTGAACACTCGCCCAGGGCTCAGCTCGCAGCGTTGGCAAATTACGGGCTCCATCCTTGGCAATAAAACGCTCCCCGCGGCCCCACATCCCAACTTCATGCTTACGGGGCGGGGGGAAAAATGCTCTTTTGAAGCCCAACGCTGCACCCACCGAACACAAACCTTTCCTTTAGCGGTGGGTGGGAGAGGGGGTGCCCGCAGCACCCCCCGCCTCGTGCTGGACCCCCACCAGCTCCACGCTGAGGCTGTATCTCATGGCAAACCAAAGCTGTACAGCATTGCAGACCAAAGCTCCTCCTTCCCCAGCCCAAAAGATGCTGGAGCAGCGGAGGCGAGAGGCTGCGGCAGCCTGAGCTGCTCCCGGTACCCACCGACCATCTGCCCAAAGCCCATCCCCAGGCAGAGGGTCATTAAGGAATCTGCTCCCTCCCAAACTCATTAAGGGTAAACAGACACCGGGAGGGGGCTCTGGTCACACCAGGATGCAGAAATTGGCTCCGTCAGTGCCAGGACACACACACACGTGTCCGGCTCAGCTCCGAGAGAGCCGCCGTGAGTGCCCAGCCGGTGGCAGGGATGTGCCACGACACCTTCCAGCCGCACCGGTGGGCTCGGTCGTATCTCTGGAAGCCCAAATATGCCAAGAATAGGGGTCCCACGGGGCCAGGGAGGGTCCCACGGGGACCATCCCCTCTCCCGGTCCCACATCCCCCAGTCCAGTGGTCCCGCAGTCCCCAGCGCCTTCTCCTGCTGCCATCCCGCGGCCGTGTCCCACAACTGCACGTGTACACCCGCACACGGCACCGGACGGGGCTATGGCCACACCGGGACCACCACAGCACCCAAGGGGGGCCCCGCACCTCCCTGCCACGACTGGTCCCCCGCTGTGGTGGCCACAGCAGCCCCCTTGCCCGGGGGTGGCAGGAGATGAAGGTGTCCTCAGTGCGTCCCCATCTCCCCCCCAAGCACCGGCCGAAGGGTGCTGAGCCTCTGCTCAGCTCTGGGCTCCTCTCCCCGCGGCCACCTCTGTGCAATGCCAAAGCTCAGCTGGCGGTGCGGCTCCCGTGGGAGCTCGGGGACAGGAACGCCACAGGGTTTGCGGAAAGAGGTGGCAGGAAGGGACACGAGGAGCCCTTCCTGACCTCAGCCGCGGTCCCACAGGAGGGCTGCCCACCCCTCCCAACCGCAGGAAAACCCAGGGTTTATCAAAACTCAGTTTATTCCAAACATTAAAAGATTACAATGTTCTTCCTCTCTTCATCAATTAATCAACCAAAATACTTTATGGAACAGGTCATGTATAGCTGCATAAACTGAATAACTTCACAATACCTAACTTGCATGGGTACTATAACTTAACAGGTAAAATTTAATCTTCGCAGACCCCCTTTCTCAGTCCAGGTACCTGGAAGGCAGCGCGGAAAGAGAAGATGGGAGAAGCCGGGCGCACGGAGCGAGACCAGTTTGGAGCGAGACCGGAGGCGATGGGGAGAGGAGTCCCGTTGTTTCGAGCGATTCGATGCATAGCTGGGTTTCGGTTGTCTTCTCAGCAAGGCCCTAACAGCAAATGAAGCTCATTTTCCTCAGCAAAGGAAAGAGGAAAAAGTTACAAGAACAAAGTCCCCACCCGTGGGATGGATTTCGTTGGGTTTCCGAAGTCAATGGGAAAGAGCAAGAACGGCTGAGACGGCAAAAAGCAGCGCTGGAGGCGGCCGCTGCAGGCAGGAGGGAGCGGGGGAACCGGCTCCCGGCCTCGCTGCCTGGGGGAGTTTGGCTCAGATAAGGAAGCGGTGATGGGTGGGAGGCAGGCCCCCCCACTTTTCCAGCAGCCACAGCTCCGTAACGTAGCGCAGGATGGGCATCATCCAGCGGCGTTTGCCCCTTGCAGGCTCCCAGCCGCCGGGGAGCATCTCCCCACCGCAGCCACAAGCGTTGGGTGCAGGAGAGAGCTCCGCCAGAGTTTCTGCTGGACTGAGCTCTCACCCGGAACGAGCCCCGAGGGGTTCGGTGGGTGGCAGCAGACAAATCCAAGTCAAGAGGTAAAAGGTATTCGGGTTAAGGGGATTGGGGGAGCACCCAAAGACTCGGGGAACGTGAGGATCTCAGAAAGCCCGATGCCCAAACCCTTTCGTGTAGTGAAGAACAAAGCCCTCAGCTTTGCCGGGCAGGGAAATATTAAAATAAAAAAGACAAACAAGAAGTGGAAAACCCATCCAGCCACAGCACTGAGATCAGTTTAGGACCAAGCCGACCCAGGGAGAGCTGACAGAGCACCAGGCACCACGGGAAGACAGACACGTGCTTGCAGGGAGAAATCACGAGCATCCCTGAAGAGCCCTGCTCCAGCCACGCAGACGCTGCCGGGGCCCGGCTCTGGGAGCCTCCCACCCTCCCCACCGCCGTCGGTGGGAGACCAGAGCTGGAAACCAGTGGCCCGACCCGGGTGGAAGGTGGTGGGGTGTGCGCGGGTCCCGTAATCCCGCTGGGCTCGGCTGCGCGGCATCGCTTCATCAACTCTGCTCCTTGTCCTTGACCAGCAGCACCGTGTGTTGGCCACCGCTGGACACGGCCAGGACGGTGCGGTTTTCCAGCTGCTTGCCCGTCATCTCCACAGGGCTCCAGACGTCCTCTTCCTCCCCTGTGCCCAGCTGGTAGTTGGTGCCCATACCCCAGGCAAACGCTCGTCCTGCAACAAGAGGTGACGGCAAATTTGGACTTCAAAGTGGTTGCAGGATGGGGTGGGAAGGGGACCCAGCAGCCAAACCACAGGGATGTCACACCCGGGCAGGGGAATGAGCGATGGGCGCTCGAGACGCAGGCAGGAGGAAGAGGAGCAGCACTTGGCAACTTGAAGAGGCGTTTCGGCACACAACCAAAGCAGCGTTTTGCCCCCGGGGAGCAGACCAGACCCCATCAGCCCACTGCAAAACCTCCGTCCCACAGCCGTGGGCTGCAGATGCCACGCACAAGCACACACAACACCAAAGCACGGAGGTCTCGCTGCAGCGGAGTTCAGGGTGCGGAGAAGGGACCGGCAGGCCAACGACCCCCTCCCGGTCAACACCCTGTTAGGAACCTTGCTGCCAATGGCCCTCAAAAATATTTGAGCAGCTGCTGCCCAGCTGCCCCCAGGCTGGGTGTACAATCGGCGGCAGGACCTGGCTCCAGTCCCGACCCAGCCAGCAGCGTGCCATGAAGTTGTGCGGCGCCACCCGGATCCAGGGGGAGGGAAGGATGGATGGATGAGGGGTGGGGAAGGTACCTAAGGCGGCTTTCTCGAGCCCACGGAGGCCTGTGACACTCACCGTCACTGCTGACGGCGTAGCCGACCGATGCACCGCACGCAACGGAAGAGATGCTGGGGAGCTCCGGGATGATCGTGGGCGTGCTCTTCTCCTCCGCCCCAGCTCCGAGACCCAGCCGGCCGTACTCGGCCCTGCCCAGGCTGTAGGCTTTACCTGGAGCAGGACAGACACAAAGCAGAGGTTACGCAAGGAGGGCAGAAGGCCACAGCAGACCACAGACGGACTCTCTCCCCCTGGTCCGGCTCCTGCAGGAGCATGGCTCCCCCCCTACCGCACCCTACATCCCAATCAGGAGGTGCAGGGTGGGATGGAGACCCTTGAACTTCCCAAAATCCATAGGGTGGGTGAGTGCCTGGACAGACTACTGAGCCTGTGAGAGCAGAGTTCACGACAGGATCCTGTCATCCTCCCCTTGCCCTTTGCGGCAAATTCATGCCACCCCTGTTGCCTTGAACACCGAGGACTTGCGAGGGCTCCACAACACGTCCCCCTCACCCCAATGCCTCCCCAGCTGGGACGAGGGCCACAGGAGTCCCACCCCATCCCGCTTTGTGTGACTCCCAGTCCCACCCCATCCCGCTTTGTGTGACTCCCAGCCTACCACTGGCACTCACCCTCCGAGTCGACGCACACCGTGTGGTGCTGGCCGCCGGAGAACCCGACCCAGGACTTGGTGGAGTTCTTGAAGCACGTCAGGTTCTGCGGGGAGAAGCAGGGCTCGGTGCCCTGGGTCCCTGTGGGGTGGGATGCAAAAACCCAGGCAGATCAGGTCGGCGGGCACGGACAGCCCAGGCCAGACACCAGCACTGAGCCATCCACCCTGGGGCTCACCCCGCCAGAGACTAACGCAGCCACCCCAAGCCCCCACAATCAAATTTCTGCTCAAATTCACCGGCTGCAGGGGCTGAGACCTAAACCCTGAGCTATGCAGGCTGACCCCCACACCAATTTCCAGCTCCGGTGTGTCCAGCGAGTGCTTGGTGTTTGGGATCCGGGGTGCCCAGCAGGGTCCCCCCACCAGGTCAGGGGAGTCTGCAGCCAGACCAAAGCAGGCAGGAGATGTGGAGGGACATAAGCGCAACTCACCCAGCTGGTGGTAGTTGGAGAGGCCGAATCCATAGATGTGTCCCTCCTGTGTGACGGCGAAGGTGAAGTAAGCCCCACAAAAGGCATCCTGGAAGCGCATTTTGCCTCTGTTGCCTTTGCCTCTGACAGGGACCCGCTGGGGGACCAGCAGGCGCTCTGGGGGCAGGAGACAAGGTGTCATAGGAGGACTAATGATTTACACCCTTTTCTTCCCGCCTTAGATCCAGCTCAACGAATTCAAGCAACAGATTTACACGCAAGCCCTGGAGCAGCAGGGGAAGAGACCGGGTCTCTTTGCTCCTCTGCAAAGTGCGGAGCTGGGGCCGAAGGACACAGCACCGCACGTCTCTGAGCACCAAAGCAACTCACGCAGCCCTTTCCTTCCTCCTCGGTTGGCAAAGAGCGCCGGCACTCTCCCCAGCTGGCCCTGCTCGCCGCAGCCGCACGTGAAGAGGTCACCATCCACCGTCAGCATCACTAAGTGGTCATTCCCTGGGAGGAGACAAGGAGAAGAGTGAAGCAGGAGTCACAATCCAGGAACCCAGCAAGACCCAGGGGCTGAGATCCCACACATAAACCCCAGCTGTCCCAGCTTTCTAGAATTCAGTGGGGATACCTTGACGGCAGCTTCTGGCACAACTTAAAACACGAGGATCTCCCTCTTCCTGATCCTAGCTCCCCATCTGAAACTCCAAAGAAGTTTCTCTGGGATGGGTTGGGGGACAGGTTCCCCCCAACTTCACCTGGGCCCTGGACAAGTTCAGCAGCTGCTCTGCTCAGCTTCTCCAAGTTTAGAGAAGAGGGTGAGCACTTTGACCCTGTGGGGTCACAGTCAGGACACTCTTGTAAGGCATTTTACATCAGATCGGGTCAAATATTAACAGTATTGTTGGGGCTAGAAGAGATACAAGGTCTGTTCTCTCAAGAGCCAGAGGAGAGCAAGCACAGCCTTGTACCTGGCTCGGAGCAGCCAAGGGGGAGGAAAAGGACATGGACCTTCTGGACCTTCACCTCCTCCCGAGGGTTGCAACAGCCTCGTGCACCAGCCTGATCCGCGCGCACCCCAGGACCTTGCTCACCTGAGACAATTTTAACGACGGGTGCGCTGATCTGGAGCAGCACAGGAATGGAGCTCGTCTTCATCGGCTCTAGCAAGCCGATCACCCCGTTGTTATCCTGGGTGGAGAGACAGATGCGGGGATGTGAGTCACAGAGGCAGCAACCATCAGCAGAGCTTCCAGTATCTGAGAAATCAACGTACCCGGAAAGAGCCCCAGACAAACACCCTGCCGTCCTCTGTCAGCGCGGCCGTGTGACTGTCCCCTGCAGAGACCTGCACCACCTTTTCCTGCAGATCCACCAGCCCCGGCGTGGTCTCTGACCCTTCTGCCGAGGTGTCGCGCCCAAGGGCGCCTTCATCGTTGCAGCCAAAGGTGTAGATCTGCAGACAGAGCATGAGACGGTCCGGATGGGACCGAGAAGGGCAACAGGTTGAGTGTGAATCCAGGGGACAGAGACCCACCAGGCTGAATTATCCCTTTGACCACCTAAAATTTTGTGGTCCGTTGCACAGAGACTACGCTCATCTCTGGAGCTGGAGTGAGCTACACGTCTGGGCAGAGCAGGGTCTGATTCAGACCCCCCTGCTCCAGGACACGTCCCAGAGCTTGCAGGGAAGCACAGCTCGGCCTCCCCATGTCCCCCCTCCCCTCCCCACTGCACTCACTTTTCCTGTCTGGCTGAGGCACACCGTGTGCATCCCTCCGGCTTCCACCTGCACCATCATCTCAGGCAGCGGCACCAGGGCCGGCTTCTTCCTCTCCATCACGTCCTCCCCCAGGCCCAGCTGGCCGACATCCCCCTGCCCCAGCGTCAGCACCAGGCCGGGCTGGATGCAGTGGGACGAGTGGCAGACTGCGGGGCAGAAAAATAACATATATAATATACAGTGGGGGAAAAACCCTTCCATTAAAGGTGGTCCCCAGGAACAGGGAGGGAAAACTCCCAGGGATTTTTCTTACCTTTAACCTTCTTCCTTCCAGGAGAGTCTTCTTCTGGCCCCGGGCTCTTCTTCGCAGTGCGTTTCCCTGGCATAGTGCCTCGGATCTGAACACCAAAGACACCCTGTTAGGGGCTTTGCTGGAGACCAACAGCGTGGCTGTCAGTTCTTCGGGATCTTTTCCTCCCCGTCTCTGCTTTAAAATCACCTCAGATCACCTGAGGGGCCGGTGACGGAATGAGGATTTGAGCACCGATCTCCCGCTTTGGAAAAATGTAGGCTTGGGTGG